CTCCTCCTCCTCCTCCTCCACCTCTTCATTCTTTCTCCTTCCGGCTGGTTCACATTCCCGACTCTGTCAGACCAACAGTTGATCCGTGTCCATCTGTGACGCAGAGGTGAACTCCTGCAGAGAGGAGAGTTTGTGGAGCAGAAGAAGAAGAGAAAGGTCTCTCAGTAAGACCACGTCTGTTTAAGGCTGCAGACAGTTTTATGAAGCCTGTTATTATCAGCATCATATACTCTGAAAAAAAAACCAACTACCTGGGTTGTTTACAGGGATCTTCTTATCTCTGTGAGTTCATAACATGGCTGTAAATGTGGGATCCCACCTCGTGTCGTGTTAATCTACCTGAACTGTATCATCCATCTGCTGTGTGAAGTCTTCAGCTTCAATTCTTCTTCTCATGTTTTTCCAGGTCCTTGGGAGTTCAGGGATTGTTTTGGATATTTTCCTGCGGCTGCTGCAGCCTCCGTTGTGCGTGACGGCAGCATGAACATGGAGGATGTTTTCTGAGTCGAGCCCAGCTGCTCCGTGTCTCACCTGGTGTTCCAGAGGAATGAGGGCGCTGCGCTGCTCGCTCTGGATTTCCTTCCTCCTGCCTCTGTGCGTGGCCGCGGCCAGGCTGCCCAGTGTTCAGCCGACAGGTAGGACACGACCACAGTGATTGTCTTAGTAGTCTTTGGTCGGAAAGACCTGGGTTTGACAGGTCTGATTATAGATGTTCAGGTCGGACATTCATGTAGCTCATGGACACGAATCAAACCTGTACCTACTGAAGGCTGAGGTATCAACGAGACTCTCCAAAGTCCATAGAGAAAATCAGAGATTTTAGCTCAGACCAAAGTCAAAAATCCAAAATGCCTTCATCCCTAAGTTCAAATGTGTTATTTTGTGATTTCATTGTTTGATATTTTATTTATTTATTTATTTTTTTACACTTTCCTGACTCTAACAAACACCTGGATATTTCTATAATGTTGTTGTTTGGAATACTGTCCACAATCTCTCTCTCGCTCACACACACACACACTCGAGAGTGACATCTCTGTGAAGGCTGAGGGGGAAATGGTGCCATCTGTCAGTAAATGACAGTCATTTTATTCCCACTGCTCATGCATCTGTGGACATGACTGCTGGACGACAGGAGAGTGAGTGTGTGTGTGTGTGTGTGTGTGTGTGTGTGTGTGTGCATGCAGGTGTAAAGGAGAAATAAAGTGTCCTTGGAACTTCCCAGCAGACCAAACAGACCAACATGGTTTGATATGATCAATGAGCTTCATTCACGTTGTTCACAGGGAGCTGTTTTACACATGGGTGAAATCACTGATCCCTGTGAGCTGCCATGGATTTCTGCTGGAAATAATTACTTTTCTCTTAGAAAACAACTTTCTATTGATCAGGAAAATAGAGGCGTGTGTTCAGTCTGGTAATGAACACCTTCCCCATTAAATATAACATCATTCAACCGTGAGCAAAAAGGTCCAGTTTAGTTTTTCCTCCTTCAGACATTTGGGATTATTTTTGTCTAAACTAAGTCTTATCTTGGCGACTAATCTGGTTACTAGTTTAGCATAAATCCAGCAGTATTTTGTGATATGTTAGGTGGTAGTTTGACTAACTTTGACTAACTCTTTTTTTTTTTTGGTGAATAGAAATACCATTTAAGTGTGTTGTCACGAGTTTATTGAAGGAAAAAAATATTGAAATATCAAGGCCAAGTTTTTAATTTCTTTTTCAGGTTTTTTTAGTTTTCATTTTCCTTAGGTTTGGGGAAATTCTTTTAAACATCCTCAAAATGAAGCGTATAACAAACTGCAGACTGAAACAGTCAGAGAGGAACATGTATTCACTCTGCTCCAGGACTGTCGGATGGAGCGAGTGGGATCAATGTGCACAATTTCCTGGGTTTTTGCCAGTAGTTCCATTTTTGAGGTGCATTTAGACCAAAGAGAAGGAGAAAAAAATTCCCCCCGTTTATATATATAATACGTTTTGACTTCTGACTGTTTCCTTGTTTCCACTTGCGCCCCCTCCAACGTGATGTGTCAGAGCGGAGCCATGTTTATTTCTCCAGACGCTGGTGGCATTTTCTAATGTTTGAGGAGCCACACTGACCAACAGGAGTGACTAATGACATGGAACAGGAACTTAGTATGTGAGAGAGAGACAGAGAGAGTCACAGAGAGAGAGAGAGAGAGAGAGAGTCAGCAGAGGTAAGTGACGTTTATTCTGGGTAGACGGATGATGAGTGGGGCAGGAGGGTGGTGTACGTTAGAACATTGTTGCGGCGCTTCTCTATTGGTCAGTTAACTTGTCATCTCCCATCATGCTTCATTGTTGGATATCCTTAGTTGACATCACTTGGCGTCTAAGACGATTGTGTGTGGTGTTTTTAAAAAGACGTAATTTTTTTCCCGCCTTTTGTTAACCATTACTAGACTTTTCAGGTGACCCCAAATGGGGTTGCGACCCAGAGGTTGAAAAACTCTGCCTTAAAGTGAGAACTGCATTCTTTTTTCAGTGTTTCTCCACTTCTAGTTTTTACGTACTGCACACTCTGTGAGAGTGAGTTTGTCTCCAACAGCCAGTGATCCACTCACTTCTCCAGCAGGACCCAGAGCAGCGGCAGATTAGCGCCGCTGCAGTCGTGTCTGACAGAGAGTCTTCCTCTGATGCGCTGACATCCGAGCTCTGCTGCCTGTGTGGGATTTCAAAGAGCAATCTGAAAATTGAACTGTTGGTGCACTTGAGCGTGAAGGCCGTTCTCCTCTCATCCCGCAGCAGCCGAGCGGTTGTCTCTCTCTCTTCTTTTTTTTTCCTCCCCGTGTCTCTGCATGAATCTTCATTCATTTCTCTCCTGGCAACATTATCAGGAATCTTTGGCGAAGGCTGTCAGTGCTGGAGCCAGATCAGCTCTGGAGGATGATGAAGTGTGAAACAATGGCTGTTCTGTCCTCGCTCCATCCGCCGACACTTTTCTGGATCAGATTAAACATTAAACAGGACCTGGTGTTGCCTCAAACAATGGATCACAGTGGTGATAGCGCTTCTCCTGGACTACTGTTCACATAACACTCGTGATTGATGGCAGAACGCTGTGGGCTATAAAAAAAAAAAGAAACAAATATAAACTAACAGAAGCTGCTGGATTTCACACCGTCTTCAGAATTCACAGGAAGAGAAGTCAAACAGATGATGTTGTTCCAGGATCACATTTAGCCCGTCCTCCAGGAGAGAGGTTTTCATTAGCCGCTCACTAAGCGCTGGAGTCTAGACGCTAGGTTTTTCCAACCATAATAGATTTTGGAGGAAAATATATTTTTTTTATTAGAGTTTTTCGTATCATATCATGGAGCGAAGT